TGGTGCCTCTTAACGCACACACACACACAGACTGAAAGACTGCAGAGTTGAGCCTATTGAGCCAAATGCTGAATGAAGAAAATGCTGATCTTGCTAATAAAGAATTTAAGCTAAGGTTGATGAATCAATGCAATGATATTAAACACATTTCCACCAGAGCGATTTCAGTTCCTGCTCCAGAGCCAGAACTCTTCAAGGTCAAGGTTCATGATTGAATGATTGACTCTCTAACCTGCCATTATATATTTTTAACAAAAAGAAAACTAGCTAATAATTATGAAACTGTGTTTTATATCAGAAAACTGACTGGCAGTTTTGAAAGTGTGCTTTGTGTAAATGCGTCTAGTTTTAAATCTACATTAGTGTTAACATCATTTTTGCACAAAAACAAAACAAAAACGTTCTCTTGCTCAGAAATGTTTTTCTTTTCTCAGAAGTTCCTGAAGTTTTTCTGTTGCCATGATCACAGTGATGATCCACTTCATAAATATGGTGCAGTTACTACAGATGAATTAAGAAAAAAAAAAGGTTTTCTGTATTTATTAAAGGGTCATATGACGTATGTATTTAATAGGTATTTAATTGGATGTTCACGTGCCGTGCTATCGCATGTTGTAGGGCCGAATTCTGAGTTAAAAAGAAATAAAGAAAGAAAGAAAAATGTGCAACTTTTTATGAAACTTTTCCTCACCGTCTCTGAGACCCTGCACGCGCTGTGATGCGCGGTGTCTGACAGCGCGCGCCCACCTCTCCGCCTCCTCCAGGTTGGCTCGAGCGTCCTCCCCGGTGAGGACCCGGAATCGGTGCTCCACCCTCTGGCGGCCGGCGGGAGCTCCGGTCCAACTGCGCCGCACCGGGTAGAAATAAGCGGACAGATACGCCGCCGTGTCCGCCTCGTCCTCACTCCGGCACGCGCGGCATCCCACACAGTCACCGAGGCCGAGCTCGAGCGCGTGTCCGTGCTGCCACACGGGCGACCCGCCGATCTTGCGCACCGAGAGGCAGCTGTCCGTTAAGGTCACGGAGAATCTGAGTCTCCCGGTCGCGGCGTCGGTGAACTCCGCGCGCAGCTCCGTAGCTCTGTCCATCCCGACCGGGGGAAGTTTCCGGCTCTGCACCGGAAACCGCGGGACGTGAGACCGGATCCGATGGGACGGTGCAGGTGAGAAAACAGCGCGCGTGCAGAGTCCGGAGGCGGCTGCGGGACTGCTGGAGTTTAACAGCTGGATTTAGTTCCGCTGAAAGATTTCTCCCTAGTGACGACACCGAGATAACACACACACACACACACACACACAGAGAATCACACACACACACACTCACACACACACACTCACACACTTACAAACAAACATACACACGAGAGAGAGAAGGAGGAGGACAGACAGACAGACAGACAGACAGATAGATAGATAGATAGACAGACAGATAGATAGATAGATAGATAGATAGATAGATAGATAGATATACAGTGTAATGATTATAAACTGAATGGTTTATTGCGCACGTTGTGGCTGAAAGGACCTGAAGAAGGGAGCGGAAGGAAATAAAGGATAAAGGCGCTCAATTTAAACACATTTTCTTGTTTTGTTTTAAGTATAACTTTTTTTTACTATAAGAATATGAAATAGAGAAATCTAGTTTATTTTTGGTATTTATTTTTGCATTGTGCTGAATGTTTTTCTTTGATTGAGGGGTTAGAATTATAATTACAGACTATCTTTATTATTATTATTATTATCATTATTATTATTATTGTTATTAATAGTATTAGTGTTATTATTATTATTGTTGTTGTTATTAATAGTATTAGTGTTATTATTATTATTGTTGTTGTTATTAATAGTATTAGTGTTATTATTATTATTATTGTTGTTATTAGGAACTAATTTCAGTTCATTGTAAACTCGCCTATAAAGCGCAGAGTACAGCGGCGCATCCCATTGGTCCGAAGTCACGTGGTAACTACGTCACAGACGGTATAAATACCGACAGCCTCCACAGAACTGGTCTCTTTTCCGCCTGTTGTTGAGCTGGAAGGAGGAGATTCGGCTTTCTAACACTCATAAATAAGATGTTTAATGCTGGAAGTTTAAATATGGGCAGTCTAAAACCGCCTTGATCGAATGTAAGTATTTTTAAAAGCAATTAGACTGATTTTTTTTTTTGTAATCGCTAGCTAGTGCGCTAATCTGCTTTTGCTATCAATTTAATTATTTTTTTTTAAATGCCGAGTGTTTGTATATTGTATTTGGGTTTTTAGAAATACTTTAACAACCTTCTGGCTTAAATTGCGGAAATCTACCACAAATAAAATCATAGCAAGGCTAGTCAGTGTTTGCTAGCTCGCGTGAACCGTGTCCGAGCGCGCGCTTTTTATTTCGCTTCCTTTTTGGGGAAAAAAAAAATAATAATAATAATTTTAGTTTCTTGTACACGCCTCATGTTTCGAGTATTTAGAAGATTTTAAAGGTTTGTGATTTTAAAGGCAATGTGCGTGGAAATGATGGAAACCTTTTCTAAGAGACGCGCGCGAGCGAGCACGTGGCGCGTGACGTCACGTTCGCGCTGGTTAAAGCCTCGGTAAGAGATTTCACTCAGCTGCACGTGCCGAGGTATTAAAGCTTATTATAGAGTATAAACCTGCAGGAAATCTTTAATAAGGGGAGCGAGGTGTCACTGTAAAGGGTCAAAGGTCAGATTATGATCATCATAAACCCCATGTTCGTGTCGTAAATGTAAACAATGGAGTGTGTAAGATTAAGAGAGATTTAATAGATTAATTAAGATTTACCTATAATGTCTTAAGTCTTTATACAGACCCAGGGGACTGTTTGGCAGCACTCTGTGGGTTGTGCGTCCATCAGTGGATGTCTGCAACACTTTTTGGATTTAATAAATTTGGCTGTATTTACATGCACATCAATACTCTGATATTAATCAGAATTTGACTTGTAATTAGTATCGAGTCAAACCTCAATCTGATCGCCTGATTCAGATTAAGACAATATTCTGATTCCCATCCCTGGAATATTCCCGTTCTAATCGGAAACTTGTTGCATGTAAACACCTTATTCAGAAAATCCAGTGCTCGCCATGTTTCCTGTTAAAGTCCATCGCAACCTTGCAACAGCTTCCTGATCTTCCCAAACATCATGATTTCAATACCTCCCTTTTGTCAAAGGCATTCTTAAAGGCTATCTGGGGAAAAAAAATTATAAATATAAATTAGAAATTAAGTATGAAACATTTTGGAAGACATTTTAGTAAAAAGTGTTAATTTCCGCTCTGTATGGAGACCTTTGGGAGGCCCTGTTATTGTGCAACGCAAAATAATCCAAACTGTCCATTTTTCTGGCTTAATATAATCAAATGTTGATGTTCTGTTATCCAACACTTTGTAGAAACTTATTCGCAGGAATCCTAATCTTGGTGTTGTTATTAGGGATGTGGATTGTGTGATCTTCACTATGAACGAATCCTGGAAGGAAAATCCAGCTTGAACATCAGCTCCAGCAGGTACGTTGTTCTCAACGTTCTTGACTGTAGCCGTATAAACTGCTGCGTGTGGCGTTCCTGAGATGAAAATGCTACATAGGAAGTGCCGTCTGATGCGATAACTGACGATGGTTAAAAGCTACACTGTTCTGAGGATGAAGCTGATTGGTGGTTTTCTCTCCTCGCTGGTTTCTGTGCAACGTCTCTGAACGCTGTTCTCTCTGCAGGTCACCGCCTACAGGCCGTGACTGGACCGGATCAACCTCGGATTAATCCAAGACTAGGTACAAGTTTACTTTCGTTTTATATTGAAACTAAAGTGATGGTGCACAATTCTTAAGGATTTTCAGTGTTTTTCCTCCAACACTCCTGCCTTTTAACAAAAAAAAAAAAAAGTACAAGTAATGTTTCCCATGTGCTCCCCTCCATGACTTGCACACTAGTAAATTCATATAACAAACATTTATAACACTAAACAGGTTTAGTTCCTGTTCTCACTTGTGTTATAGCAGCTATAAACGGTAAACTCCTGAGCAGATTAGCCATTAAACAGAGGATGAAATCTAAATGAATAGAACGGATTTGGATTAGTTGTATGTTGATTAGAAAAACCTGTTCTTGGTTTGGGTGGTTGCTTGGTGACAGTTGCTAAGCAGTCGTTGGTGTGGAGAAAGCGTGCGATGACAAGCCTGTGATGATAGAAAAGTTATCCCTGTCTGAAATGATCGTGTGGAGACGTGGTAACCTGAGGCTTGTCTTCACACTCGCTACGCTGTGTACGAGTTCAGGGCCAAACACTAACTGATTTATTTTGTTTCAGGGGACAGAAGATGAAGATTCGGTGACGTCCTTGATGGAAAAGGACACGCAATTGTGAAACGTCCTGGGAGGAAGAATGGTCACTCGGTCATGTGACTGCTCTTATTGCTTATTTTATTGTAATGTATGAAGTCTGTATAAATAAAGCTATTGATCGAAAGCTGTCTGAAGTGTCTTGTGGTTTCAAAGCTGAATATTTTTCCTTCATATTGACCTTCATATTTCAGTTTAATCATTCAGCTCTTTACTGTGAATTAAAATGAACATCACTGATGCTGAAGGGTTAATAAGATTAGACTTTTATTAAAACATGTAGAAATATAAATGGCACCAGTTTAAGCTGTCGTCATGTCTGTAAGGTTGAGTTGGACGGTGTGCGTTTCAGTGTGTCCAGGAAGAGCTGTTCATCCTGCAGGAAGTCTCGATCCTGAATTGGAGATGTTAGTTCAATCAGCAAAGGTGTGTATGAGGTATTGTACACAAAAGGCTTGTGTGCGCATGTGTACCTTCTCAGCGGTGTGTTTTAGCACAGCGAGTGTGGCCTGTAGTTTTGGAGAAAAGGATCTGGAGCTGTTATTTAGCGGCGCTGGAGGAAGAACCGCCGTGCTGTTAAACACTGGAGAGAATCCTGTAAAGAACAAGTTCAGGAAATCATTCATGTGGAACTCAAATATTAGTTTACACCTGGCGTAGTTTAGTGGTTAAGACTTTGGACTTCTGGTCAGAAGGTTGCGAGTTCAAATCCCAGCACCACTAAGCTGCCACTGTTGGGCCCTTAATCCTCAACTGCTCAGTTGTATGAGTGAGATGAATATAAAGGTGTCTGCTAAATGCTGTAAATGTAAATGCCTCTGCTTAAGGTTAATGAGCTAAAGGCCCTCATATTGAGCTGTTACTGGGGACTACTGTGGTTTTTTTTTATTTACAGAAACTGGAAAGCACGGTAGTTTTAGAACAGAAATCAGAAATGTAAAGATGTGAAGCTGAGCAGTAAGGAGTGGTTAGCTCACACAGTTCTTGCTGCTCATTAAATTCTTTTGTTTTATTCATTTCTACATACGTGAAAGACACGGAGCCATGATTTCAGCGACAGCGACGGCAACAAAGCAACATCTTGCTTGATATTTCCTCAACTCTATGGATATTAGTTATAATGTGGTAAATCGACAAATCTGGACAACCTGCAGGGAAATCCTCCGGTGCCTGTGGTCCATTTCTGCAGTTCCCTGCTCACAACTTTAGTTCCTACCTGCAATTAGTTCCCATTTACTGTTTAACACTTAAACTTACCTGTGATTTCATCTTATCCTGTCATTTACGACCTCTCGCTGAATGCGTACAGAGACGTTATGAGGTAAAAATCAGTCTTGGAAGGGAGTAGCTTTACTGCTGAGTGTGCGTTGCTAGTACAGTTGGCTTGCTTTGCTAATCTCTGAACAAAGCTGAGCATGTGACATGTAAATCAATCTTAAATACATTTTAAACAAAACTACAAGTGATGTTAGTGACGACTTGTGTGAACGCAGGGTTATTGTATTGGTAAGTGGTGTGTGTGTGTGTGTGTGTACCTGTTAGTAAAGGATCAACAGGGGCAGGTATGTGGTCAGTGGGAAGGCTGTGTCTTATTCTGTCCACCTCTCTGTGATAATCTGTCATTCTCATCCTCTCCTGAGAGACAGAACAAAGGAGTAAACACACACACACAGTCTGTTTGCATAAACTGACATTCCAAATTAAATGCTAGGTTACGTACATCCCGAAGAACACACGTACAGAATACAGGAGACACACACACACCTGCTGTAGGTTGTGCTCCTGCGTCCTCAGTCGCTCCAGCTCAGTGTGGATGCTGCGTAGACGAGCCTGATGTCCCGCCTCCACCTGCCGAGCCTCCTGCAGCGCCCGCTCGCCTTCCTCGTACCGCTCACACGCCAGCTACGCACACACAAGCACAATTACTACACTAGCACAATTTATACACTCACTCGCATGTCAGCTACACCATCACGTTATCAGTCAAACACAGCTCTCACTGTGTGTGTGTGTGTGTGTGTGTGTGTGTGATAGGGAGAGAGACACACATCACCTTGCTGAGTCTCTCCACCTCCTGAGCTCGATGTTTCAGGTGCAGAGCTGCTGCGTTCAGTCTCTCTCTCTCCCCCTCCAGCTCGCCTCGCAGTTTCTCCAGGTTCTCTCTCTCCTTCTGTATGGCCTCCTCTCTCTGCTTCAGCTCTCCCGCTCTGAGCTTCAGCTCGGCCTGCTCCTGTCCCACACACACACACACATCACTTCTGGCAAATATACGTGCAGGATTTTTTTTTTTACTGCTACTTTCTATTTGAATTTTCTAGAAGTCAGCTATTGTTCACACAGGAAAAGGTGCTGTGTGTGTGTGTGTGTGTGTGTGTGTGTGTGTGTGTACCTGTGCCATGCTGATGATGTGTCCCTCTCGGTCCGTCTCTCTTTCTTTGCGTAGTTTGTCCTGAGTGTGGAAGTGTGTCCACTCTGCAGCGAGTTTCCTCCTCTCCTCTGCACAGCGCTGCATCACCGACTGCTGCTCCTCTAACAGAGCGCTCTGTCACACACACACACACACACACACACACACACACACACACACACACACACACACACACATATTGTGTTCCCATTTATACTGTTTCTGACATATTTAAGGTGTTTTTCTATTTTCCTTCTTTTTTATTCTGTTTAATTTTCTTCCTCTGTGTGTGTGAGTGTGTGTGTGTGTGTGTGTGTGAGAGAGAGAGAGAGAGAGAGAGAGAGACCTTGGCCCTCTCCAGTTCTTCTCTCTCTATGGTGAAGTGTTGAGTCATGGTGCGTCTCTCCTCCTCCAGGCCTCGTAACGCTGACTCTGCTTTAGCCTGCTCTGCTGTGACCCGCCAGCGCTCCTACACACACACGCACACACACGCACGCACACGCACGCACACGCACGCACACGCACGCACACGCACGCACACACACAGATATTTTAGCATCCCAAGGAAGCCCTGTAGGCATTTTATCATATGTGCATTAATCTGATTGTTAATCTAATTACATCATATGAACCCAGACACCCCCTCTTCCTTCCCCGGTGCACAGACCTGCTGCAGCTGTCTCTGCTGCTCGGCCAGCTGTGTGTCCATCTTGGCTATGACCTCTTTGAGTCGAGTTCTCTCCTCGACCATGTCCCTCTGCTGCTGACTCAGACGCTCCTGCAACACTGAGACATACACACACACACACACAGTGCTCATGATCAAAGTCACTTCCTCAACTCATACGCTGCATTCAACTAACACTGACTAGGAAAAAACAAAAAGAAAACGCCCCTTAAATCTGAATTCCTGATCAGAAACTTGAGAGGGTCTCCTCAACCCCGAGTTCAGCAAGTGACGTCAAATCAACATGGCTGCTCACGGCATCAAGGAGG